TTCCCTATTACATTTGCGCTGTGTAAAATAAGGACATAATATCCATGGTAATGAAAAACTTGGCGATGCCTAAGGGAGAAATGATCTTTGCTATGGCCCTTGTGCAATACAAGCTGACAGAGAATTAGAGCTGTAAAATAAGAGGCAACAGGCCACAGCTGGATTTATGAACATATACATTTCTGTGAGGTCTGTGCCATCCTTGGCTTGGCCACTTGGACCTTCACACGCTTTCTGCAGGACATCGTTTCCTATATTTCCTTATCAGTCCTCAAATCTTTTTGTCTTGCCAAAATTGGGGAATAAATTCTGCCTTGATTTAAAACCTTGCCCTATTTAACACATTTAATGAGGCAAAAATCTGTTTTGCAGCCAGGGAATCCTTTCCATGAGGCACCTTCCTCCAATTACAGAGACTCCTGGCTAAAACCGAGGTCTGGTGAGTGCTACGGCTCCTCAAATCTGTGTTTCACCTCCTGCCTAAATGGTGCTCCAAAACCTCACCTTTCTTTTAAACTCCCTGCAATTGTAGATGCAACCTTGTTTTTGTGAACCCTGCATGCAGCTGTGGGTCTGCAGAGCTTGAAATAATTGCTCCGAAGTCAGGAGCTGAAAGGGATCTTCAGGCAAACCTCCCACCCAGCTCTAGGTAGCAAACGACGGAGAAGGTGGACTCCTGGCCCTAGGATGTGGTCAGGAGCACAAAACCACAGCTGGCTATTGAGGCTACCACCTCTCCCCATCCCTACTATAAAAAGGGACAAAAAATTCTGAAATTTAAAAAAGGCTGGCCAATGCTGTGTCTGGAGACCAGGTGGACTATGGCTATGGTTTGCTCTAAAAAAATGCAGTTTCAGAGTCCTAGCACTGTGCAACCACTTTGCTGGCCACAGCTGCGTTTGGGGATGTTCCCCTTATTGTTAAGGGGAGTTTTTATTATCGCAGTGAATACAAGGCAAATGGTCTCAGAGCAAATGTTCAGTGAAGGTGGCAAAAGGGAACAGCAATGATATCCCTCAGGGGGTGCAAAGGAGGAGAGAACAGACTGGAGAAGGAGTTGCCCCATATTTGGAGGGGGCTACAAGTCTTGTGGCTTCCCCACAGTGCACGAATGTGGGCTAAATGAGAGATGTCTCTGCAGATATTGGAAGAAAGGATTTTAGAGGGCCTGATCCACTTAACATTCATGTGAGCAAGGCTTTGGGGGAAGCCTCTTATGTGGGCTGTGATCCACACCATAAGTCAGTCTGTCTTACTAGCTCCATTAAAAATATTGCAATTAAAATAAATCCAGGACTGCAGGACATTCAGGTCCATACACTTACCTTACATAAAAGAGGAATATATACAAAAGCATACGTTTTTTTATAAAATCCTCCTCTGTTCTAAACACTTAGATACTGCAGCCCAGCTGCAACCATTTCTGGGATACTTCCATTATATTTAAGTGTTCAGCAGTTTGGAAGGCTGGTATCCGGCAACAAGGGGTTTTTATGATTTGCTTTGTAATCTGCCAGGTTATGGTAAATTTAAGGACACAGTGAAAACAAAGATATCTTAGAAACAGACACATCTGTATGAATGTCAAAAGTACAGATTCCTGTAAGTTCTACCTTCTTTTGAATCTCAGATTCCCTATTAGAAGAATTGCAAGCAAAGTATTTGAATGAAATGATCACTTAAAAAAAAGATGGAATTTCAGATATTTGCTCTGGTACATTAAAAGTTTATAATATCATGCTTTGATTTGAAAAGTAAGGTTTACCTATTTCTTCTTCTTTTTTAAGATAATTAACAGAATTACCCTGAAATCCTGAACGATCCGTACTGACTTTTAAAATCATAAATATTAGATCATTCACTTGAAAGAAAAGCAATATTCAAGGTCTATAAGGATCATTCTTAGAGCAGATTCTGTGGCTGCACTGAGGAGAACTCAGTAAGATGGTAGCAGCCGCTCAGCATTGCACGGGTCTGGTCTTTGTCCTGCCTTCTCTGCGGATGAGGACGGGACCTGGAGCCAGACCTCAGGTTACCCTACAGATCTTAGGCTTGTGCTCTGCCCTACGGCCAGCACCTTCAGTGGCTGCAACAGAGACCTCCTCCAGCAGCCTAACCAGTTCCCTCCTGCCACTCAGAAGTTAATACAGGGGTGCAAAAAGGATTAAAGAGGGTGCGGGAAAAGTGCGGGAGCAAGTGATCGGACGAATAAGATAGGATACTTCCTATTGCATCTAGTGCTTACTCTGCCATATTCAAGTGCCCTGTAAAATGAAATTATGTTTCACCTGTAAATACTCTTCATATGAAAAGGATGGCACTTAAATCCGTGCTTTTTAATAATTAAAAAGGAAGGTCTGCCTGTTGATTTTCTGCTTGGTTGTCTAAGTGGCCTGAAATACCTTCTCCAACTCCTTGCTCCTCCTAACTCCTTCTTTCAGAACAGAAATGTAGTTTAAGCTAAACAGTACAACTATGTGAAATGCTTAAATATTTTATTCACACACACCAAATCTATGTTCTAGTCATCTTTTCCCGTTTTCTATTAATTCTCAAAGTTGTAAAAAACAAACAAACAAACAAAAAACAATCAAACCAAAAGCATCCAAAGCTTTTTCACAAAACCTGAGGGAAATCTGGTCGAAGGTATAATTAAGTTTAGACGGGGTAAAAAATAATAATAATAGGGAAATGTGAACTTTAAAATGATGATGAACTCTCATTGTGTGAAATAACGCAGCTCTATTTGAATGAGCCCCTGTTTAAGAGTAGAGATAGCGTTATTCTATTTCAGGCACTCTGAGTAGGCGAGCAAATTTTCCCTGTCGAAAAGAAAAAAATCTAATAAAATCCAAAGGACAGCAATGAACTTCTCTAGATTACCATGGAGATAACATTTGCTTTGTTTGTCATATGTGTCATCATTACCTCCTCTAGTTCATTATTTCTATAAGTGATTTTTATTTGCATTTCTCTCAGACCCAGTAAGTCCGAAAGACTTCTGCGCTGTGAGCAGGGTTAATGCCACTTCCACTCACTCAGTCATCCCAGGACAACAATTTTGAACGGACCTATATGGGAAGAATGAGACACCACAATTCACAAACACACCATTTATTCTCATGTCACTTACTATAACTACTGTCCTCCTCTTTTGTTCCATCAATTGTTCCATCTGCTTGCAACTGTAAGTGGTATCCTTGCCTGCTGTATAGCTTTGTTACTATACCTTTAAGCTGAGGCTCTGTAAAAAAACAATAGTGAGATTAATGTGGGAAATCCTGATGTGCCGTTCCAAGCGAGCAGGATGCTGAAAACTAATCTCCAGGTTTCTTCTGAAGGCTGAGATATGAAAAACACCCAAAACAAAAGCAGGGCAACCAGCTTTGCAACACTTTTCATTTAGGTTGAGATCAAATTTGTGTCTCTGAAATCAATTACCAAAATGATTAAATGCCACTTTCAATTGCAATGTAGGTAGCACAGGAAAATCTGCTTCCAGTGAATACAAATTCCAACAGTGTGCTGCTTGGCCTCAGGAGCTCAGCCCTATCTCATTTAAGATTAGAAATGAGCTGGCAAAGAGCGTATTCCGCATTTTAAAAAGGTGTGAGTTCTTAAATGGAAAGGAAAAAGAGGACTACTACGATAGCGCTAATAGGAGCCATAGTGACAGTTGAGAGCCTAAATATGTAGCAGCAAACGTTTAGCACAGGAACTGCTGCAGCTCTAATAAACAAACCCCCATTCCTCGCTGCTCCAAAGAGTACAGAGCATCCGAAGTGATAAACTACTCAATGAACATATGGAAAATGGAGGGGGGAACCCTGAAATCCAGCCATGTGTGGAACTGTAAAATAAATATTACCATAAGGGTTGAGGTAATTACCTCATCAGCTAGAAGAAGAAAGATCAAAACAACGCATAGTTTGGATAGGTTTCTTTTTTTCATAACCATTCTAAGATTCACAGTTAGAAAGCGAGATATCTCATATGGTTTCAGATCATTCTAGACCAAAATGTAAACAACAACGGGATTTGCTGACAAGACTGTCATTTAAGATATCTAGGTAATGCACCAGGAATAATTGCAAAAAAAGGTCTACTTCTACTGAATCCCAATGACATCTGCATTGTAGCCATTTCACACAATTATGCTTGTCAGGAGGTGATGCATCTCCACAGCTCGTTCCGCAACAACTTACTTAATTCCGAGATAAACATACTGGGAAGATCTGATGTGTCATTTCCAATAGCCAATGTCTGGATAAGACTCCTTGTGTTTGTAACCAAAGACATTAGGGAGCTCTGCTACTGTACTTCATTTTAGTAGGAGCTGAAGGCAAAAGCTTACAATAGTTTGCATAAGTATATTACTTCCTATTAGCAACATTTGATAAGGGTACTGAGGGATGCACAATTCTTATCGACCAACTTTTCTGACAAGAAATTCATCCAACCCCCACTTTGGCTTTTTAGCCATAATACATCCCAAAGCTGTTTGCAAATTGTGATCGAGGCACCTCTTCTGTGGCTGCTGAGAAAGGCAGACAGGTTAAGTGGCGAATGGCACCGATGTTTCAGCACAGCAAAGCAATAGCAACATTACCAGAGGGTTTTGCTCCTCCCACATACAAAAAAAACCCACTCAGATCAGGGACTGAGTCTTCATGCCTGGTCTTTTGCACCTCTGGCACAGAGAGCATCACGGCTGCAGGGCAGCTGCATGTATGAGATTCCTAGAAAGGAACAGGGCACTGAAGCAAAACTCTGGAAGGTGCCAGCGAAAGCAAAAAGCCTCGTCTGCAATCAGCAAATGAAGCACGGCACAGGCATTCTGTGAAGCAGGGAGACAAAACCAGATCTCTAGACCACTAAGTTATTTAACATACACCTGAAGGAGCTTTATGTGTGGGAACTTCCCCTGCAAACATCTCCCCCACAAATAAATCACGTGTGTTTGTATGTGTGGATGTGTAAGACAGGCTACTGAATTACAGGTACACAGACGTGCAAGTGAGGCAGATAGCAAAGGTGTGTGTTATCCAAATAAACCAGATGAACGTGAAAGGGAAAGGGAAAGGGACTGGCATGGGGTACCCACGCCTATCAGATCATACAAGCAAGGAAGGGCAATTTAATTTTGCGCATTCATTTTACCGGCCCTGAGGCGCTGGTCCCCCTTTCCCCATGCCTGATGTACATCCCAGTTTGCATTAAATTAAACAAAGCAACCCCCCAAACACATAACCCTTGCCAACCTGGTCGCCTTCTTCGCCTTTTCTTGGAGCCAAAGAGTTTGACCCTGGAAAACACATTCAACTTGTTCTTGTCGCAGCTTCCCTTGCTCTTGCTGGGGCTGTTGACACACTTACAGGCATTGGACTTCTCCCGCTCCCTGGCTTGTCTCTTCTGGCGGATCAGGGAGCTGGCGATGGCTGCAGCCATGGCCGCCACCGCCCCGGCACCACCGGCGGGTCAGGCACGCGAGGTTTGCTCGCTGGCCGCGGGCACCGCAGCCAGCATGCTGCTCGGCCCGTCCCCAATGCTGGGGACGCTGCCGGGCGCCTTGGCCAACGCCACCCACCACCAGTCGGCTTGGGAGCCCAGGTGACACCGGTGGGATGCTCACACCAGAGCCTGGGGTCAGGATGCAACAGTTTAGCTCAAGCGTTTTTGTCTGCTGAGATCTTCCCCTTTTGATTTTCTGATGCTTTTTTATTCCTCCCAACTTCTGGCAGGGGAAAGTTTGCAGGCAGAGGTGAGCGTTTCTACGGAGATGGAGCAGATCACTTGCAAGACATCCCTTGAGCTTCTCCAGACGTGCTATTCACATGCAGACATGGCACATCCACTTGGTGCAAGATCATTGCATCTCTCCTAGCCCCAATTTCTCCAGTTAACTTTTCTCCCCACCCGTCCCCTCCCCGTTCAAATCCCAGCAAACACCTGTTAGACTCCAGCAGGGGCTGTCCAGTTGCAGGGGTTTTCTGGATCCTTTTTCCTCTTCTCCCTTAAGAAGACATCCGAAGCAAGTGGTGATGGAGACACTGGGAGGAGGTGCCGATGCCTGGAGCCTTGGCTGCCTGCTGCCGAATGCCTCGGGAAGCCTCTTCCCCTCTGCTCCTTACAGGTGCCGCTGCCAGCACAGCCTCCCCTCCATGGACGCGTTCAGCTTTTGCATTGCAACACTTGTCACCAGTCAGTAAATAGCCAGAGCTCCCCTGACGCCTGGTCGCCGGCAGCTCAGCGCCGAGACTGCAGCAGCAGTAGTCCTCAGGCAGCAGATGCACGCACTCGCACACACCCCACGAGCTGTGCGCTGGATACAGAAATGAGACGACGCAGCAAGCCCCTTATCACCACCCTCCCCTCCTCCTCCTCTTCCTCCTCCTTCTCTCCCAGGCAAGGCAGCGAGCGGGAGACCTGCCCGGTGGCTCTTTGTGTGGAGAGTTGCGGAGGGGCCCCCGGGGTGCAGGCAGTGAGGAGGCAGGGGCTCAGGGTGGGCAGCTGGGGTGCACCAGCTCCCGCTGCCCACCCTTGCCAGCCCCACGGGCTGTGGGTACCTGCTTTTGACAGAGCTGCCTCCTGGGGAGGCGCAGACACCCAAACAAACGTGACTGTGATGAGCAAATAGCTGGCACCAGGTTTTCGGAAGCAGCGGAGTGAGGACACCTGGCCGGCAGCAGGAAGGTGGTTCGGGGAGGCAGGCAGGGGAGCTCCAGCCGTAGCTCTCCCCTGCCTTTTCCTCATCCTTACAGAATGGCCCCCTCTCTGCCTCATCGATTTATCAGAGGCTTTTTGCCTCTCTTGCCTTGCCCCCCCCCCACCCCGACACCTGCTCTCAGCTCTAGTTTTCTAGCAGAGACTAGAAAATCCTCAGAGAGAGCAATTTCCTTGTCATTGCTGTGTTCCCCCTCTTCCCTTTGTCCCCCCACGGTGCCTCTGTGTCCCTGGAGGCCAGGATCTCCTGCCAGCTGGGTTTATTCATCCCTGGCTAAGTGGGGGCCGGGCTGCGGGGGTACCAGGGCAGGGAGAAGCAGCGATGCCATGATGCCGGGAGCAGAGCCTGGTGTCAGAGCCAGGCACCGCGCTGTAGTTAATGCCCCACACAGCCAACACCGAACCCTGCACACATCTGTGCTCCAGGACATAGGAAGCAGGAGGTCCTGGGGGTCCCTTTGCAACCCACCCCCTGCTCTTCAGCATGCTTTCAACAGCTGGAGCCTGAAATAAAGCCGATTCAGGCTAGAAACAAAACAGAGATTTGCAACCCTGAAGGCAAACAACTATTGAAAGAATTTATCCCTGAGGCAGAGGGGATTTGCAGTCACTTGCAGGTGCTGAGGCAGGGTGGGATGTCCTGTGACTGGGAGGGGGGAGGCTGTCGGCTGGTTCCTTGCAGGAGCTGAGCTCACCTGGACCGTGATGGCAATGAGCTTCAGCCAGCCAAGTCCAGGAGCTGCGTCCTGTGTGCCCTGGGCCAGCCCCAGGGCTCCCCTGGGGCTATCGAGACAGAACCCATGCAGGTGGGTTGGTGTGACAGCACTGGATTTCTTTTCTTTCAGACTCTGCCAGGGTTCTCCCCTTCTTCCTCTCCTCCACACACCTTTGGCAAAACCACGCCGTCCTCCCCTCCCTCCCCAGGGTTGCACACTGCGGTCCCAGGCAAGCACAGCAGAAACTGTGTCACTTCAATATCTTCACTTCAAAGAGCTCAATTCAAAAGCAGTTCGCTTTAGCTCCGCAAACATTACAGTCCTTCCCTTGACTAGAAACATCTCACAACAGGTACAAATCTGTTTCCTCCAACTGGGAACTCCTGTCCCAATAAAACATGTTGTGTGGTCAGGCCTTCCAGAAATGCCCATAATGCACAAGTTTTCAGATGATGTCTGACTGAAAGTGTAACATCTGCCATCACAGCCTGAGACCTCGACAGCTGACATGGTATATTGAATTTGGCAGCCCCACGTACCCATCCACAATACCACTTTTCTGCAAGAAGTATATGTATACATGTATAGGTGTATATACACATTCACTCACCTTTGTTTATGAGGCACTTTATGGCATCCACATATTCATATTAAGTAAATACTCCTAATTTCTTATTTTGGTTAAACGGTAGGGTAAAAATAACTGTAATTCACAAGTTCCACCACTACCCTCATCTGCCAGTCCACATAAGACATGTGAAATCCAACCCAAGAGACAGCCAGTCGGATATTATTAGTAATAACT